ACAGCAACAGAAAGCTAAAACAAGACTCTTACTTTGACCCATGGAGCCAATCACAGTCCAGCCTCTGTCTCTCAATTCCACTTCATTCAGTAAACAGTCCCTGGTACCTTCTATGTGCTGGACCCTGTGATAAATGCCAGAGATATGAAATCAAAGGGACCTGGACTCACAGAACAGAGATATGAATAATGCAAACAGATGCAGTATGATGGGCTCAGTAGAAACACAGGAGGACTTGAGACTCTTAACCAAACTAGTGGTTCGCTTTTTCAAGGCTATGACTAAATCTCAAGTCTAAGTTCAGGCCTCTTTCTACTACTTGATGCAGCCTGGCCAAAAGACTTCTGAGGTTCCCAAAGAATGAAAGCAAAATGAAAAAATAAGATACAGGATGACTCATGAACAAAATGCAAATTAAGCACTAAAATGAAAAACCCATTAGTTACAATGAAGTGAGATTCTACAAATATGGCACTTATAGGATGGAAACACAGTGAGATAAGCACAACCCTGAGGCTGATCTCTGACTCATCTATGCTGGTCCAAGAACCGAACACCAAGACAAGAATCTACATGTAGAAGCCAACAGCACTTTTGGGTAGGGACAAAATGATACTTAGGTCTTTTTATTCTAACATCTTTAAAGATTCAAAAGAAATCTACCTCTCAAGAATCTAATAAATAGAATGGGCATATTAAAGTGTGGATTTATTTCAAGGAGTCAAGAAACTAAGTTTGAGAAACTGCTAAGTAATTTCTAAGAAAATTCCAAAAGGAGATTGGGGGAGGGTGTCATATCAAATATAAGGCAGAGAGAAGAACAGAGGGAAAGAGATTTCTAGAACTTTCTGTTGTCAGAGGGCAGCATGGCTTTCAATGCAAACAGCATGTTGTCTAGGTTCATGGGACTATGTTTTTAAATTGTGGATTTTGATCATTTCAAGAAAGCAATTTAGTAGGTCATGATGTTCATTTAAAAAAAATAATAGAGCTGGGTGAAATGGCATATGCCTGTAATACCAGCGGCTTGGGAGGATAATGAAGGAGAATTTCCAGTTCGAGGCCAGCCTCAACAACTTAATGAGGTCCTAAGCAACTTATTTGACAGCCTGTCTCAAAAAATAAAGGGCTGCCTGTGCGGCTTAGTGGTTCAATGCCCCTGGGTTCAATCCCCAGTGCCAAAAATAAATAAATAAATAAAATAAAAAAAGAAAGAATAGCAGCTAATAAAAAACACCATGTTGCATTTCATACAGTGAAAGAAATACTAAATTTTATGTAGCGCTGTGTGTATACATGTATTAGTTTGCAACATCATGCACATTTCATGTGGTGGGTTGCAATCATGAAAAGTCTAGAAGACTTTCATTAGCAAAGGTTCTATTTTTAACACATACTAAATACACTCAGTTATGAGTACTGACCTTTTCTTCATTCTTGGAGTCGGTGCTAAAATTAATCAGAGAATGGGGGTGGAATATTGGAACTGGAAAGAGGAAGCAAATTAGCAGAATGTAAATGAGTCAACTGATAACAAGAGACCAGAGAGCAAAAGAATGAGACAGATGAGCTCTGGATATTTTTCTAAAGTCTCTGGCTTGTGATAAAGATTCCCTGGATATTATCCTTCCTCACTGGAGCATGGGTATATCGCAGCTGCTCAATGAGCGGTTTGTTCAATGAGCCCCTAGAAGCACTTGCATTTTCTCTGTGGTAATACTTGTCACAGAGTGATTGCTGTCCTTTAATTGTCAGTCCCCTCCATTAGAGCAGTTCTTAGAAGGCTGGGGCAATATTTGGGCCACTGCTGTCACCCTCACCCCCACATGAAAGTACCTGATGTAAAGCAGGTGTTCAATTATGTTTTGTTAGATTGAACTGAAGGGCATCAAAGGACCATAAATATCTAGTTCCAACACCCATTTGATGTTTGAACCCCTTTGCAAGAACAAACCGATTTTGGCTCATTGAGCAAAAGTTATTCTGTTGGGGGTGGTAGGCACACGCCTGTAATCCCAGTGGCTCAGGAGGCTGAGGCAGGAAGATTGCAAGTTCAAAGCCAGCCTCAGCAACTTAAGAGAAGCCCTAAGCAACTCAGCGAGACCCAGTCTCAAAAAATAAAAAGGGCTGTGGATGTGGCTCAGTGGTAAACGCACTCCTGGGTTCAATCCCCAATATAGAAAAAAAGTTCTACTGAGAGCAAAACAACATCACAATTCTAAGTTTCTAGGGAGCAAATAGCTTGGGCTCTCTTATGCTTCTTGACTCCAAAGAAAGGCTAATTCAAGGACTTGTCATGTCCTTTTACAGAATAAGGACCTCTTAACAGATTATTCAGGATATAAAGTCTTGGACCTAATTTTAGGACCTAAAACCTGGCTGCCAGGGAACATAGGAGGTGCCTTTTCTAGTCTGGACAGCTTGAGGGCAGCAAACACTGTGAATCCAAAGCCGAAGAGCTCTTAGAATTCCCAACCACATTGCCACCTCGAGCAGGCAGATGCCCAAGAGGGTCTGGATTTGGAGAAGCAGTCAATGGACCAGGTCAGTCAGACTGAGGGGAAGCGAGGAGGGGTAGGAAGTGCCATTTGCTTCCTCACCTCTGTTCAGTTCCTTACCTCCATGCCAGAGTCTAGGTGTCCAAACCAATTCCTAACAGAGCAGGTGTTTAGGATGGGTTGTTAAGGATGGCCAGAGTATGAGTGTATTAGGTAGATGGTACTGGTCTCAGGCTGGATTCCTTAGAATGGCACATGGTGAGTTAGCAGTGGAGAAATGAAAGATGCCCTGCACCAAGCGTTAACCCAAATTCAAATTCAAAGGATTGCTCCTAGTCACTACTCTTTCTCAGCCAGGTAAACATCCTGACAGCTATTAACAATACAAAAATTAAAAAAGTTCTATTAAGGGTATGGATGGGTATTAAAGGTGGAGATAAAAGCCCTTTCCCTTCATATATACCAAAGCAAAGTCTTCAACCTTCCCGAGTCCTGTTTCTTATGCTCTATCAAACCTCACTTTTCTGTGACAAGGCAAGGAGCAGAGTATCTGGTCTGCAGGTCAATGGATATCACAGAACCAGGAACACTTAGCAAACAGGCTCAGTCTCCAGGCCCCTCCCAGAAGCTACTCCAGTCTCCCTCTGACCATCTGCCAGCATATGCTGAAGGAATATAAATCATCCTGGGTTTACCCTGAATCAAATGGAATCAAGAGGGCAAGTTGGCTTGGGGCCCAGAGAGAGAGAGAGAAGCTGCAGATTGTATACTCCAGCTCCAAGCAGGAACAAAGTTTGGGAATTTTTTTTTTTTTTTTCCACTGGGGATTGAGTCTAATAGTGCTTAACCACTGAGCTGTGTCCCCAGTCCTTTTTATAGACGTGTCTCACTAAGTTGCTTAGGGCCTCACTAAGTTGAAGCTTGACTTGAACTTGTGATCCTTCTGTCTCAGGCTCCCTAGTTTCTGGGATTACAGGCATGTGCCACCATGTCCAGCTTCAGTTTGGACCTTTTAAACAAATAATTCTATCTGTCTCTATGTAGTTTGTATCTCAATAAAACTCTAAGTTTCTAGGGAGCAAATAGCCTGGGACTTCAGTGTAACTCAATCTCTCCCTGCCTTAGTTTCCAGAGAGATCATATATCAAAGATAAAACACGTGCTTATAATATCTAGCATTGCCTGGCAACATCAAGGGCCAGAACATGATGTTAATTATCATTAGGATTATGGCACAAAATGGGTAAGAGCAGAGCTATGTTATGTAGGGACAAGGTGATGGTCGAGTCAGAGGACTCCATGGGCCCTATCAGCCATGAGGAGATTTCCTTAACCTCTCTGAACTTTAACTGTCTCATCTACAAAATGGGGATAATAAAGCCATTTTATAGGGTTACCGTGAGGATTAAATGAGAATCTGTATGTAAGCTGTTTGGCACACAGTAGATGCCCACAAATGATGGCTATTATGATGATGGTGATGGCTCGTTTCCCTCAGAGGGACAGAACCCCAAGAAAAACGTGAGTTCCTGATGAGTTCCTCGAAAGCCACCGATGTTCAGTGTCCCCAAATATCAACATGTCCCCCGTGTCCCTGCTCTTTCTTTCATGTTCCCTATCACTGTGTATGGTGTTCCAGCTTCCCTGTTCTCCAAGTGAGAAATCCTCCAGTCCTCTCGACTGCTCTGTCTTCCCCAACAATGAATCCATCTCCAGGCTCTATTGATTCTACTTGTTAAATATCCCAATTCCATCTGCTGCTCTCCATCTGCCTGTTACCATCCTAGTTCAGGCCACCATCAACTTGTCCCTAGATAACATGCCTACACAACCTGGTCTCCATGCTCCAGCCTCCCTCCTTCAACCCAATCTCCAAGCTGCAACTTCTGTCATCTTTCTAAAGAATAAATCTAACTATGCCTTTCATCTTCCCTATCCTCATTGGCTTCCCCAGGTCAAATCCAAGGCCCTTTACGTGGCTTCCAGAGCTGGATGTGATCTGCCAGTGCTCAGCTCTCTCTCCAACTTCATATCTCATCATAGCCCCTCTGGTTTTGGTCACACTGAGTAACTAGCAGTTCCCATAATGAATCTGTGTCTCTGTCTCTAATAATGTCTCTGCCATCCCCTCTTCTTAGACTATTCCTTCATTCCTTTTATTCTCTATGCTAACTAGTTCAATTTTTTGGTTTTAACTTAGGTGTCCTTTCTTCCCACTTGGATACTGGATTGGATACCCCTTCCACTCTATTGCAAATATTTGTTCATTTCTCTCCTAGACTGGGAGCCCCAAGGACAAAACCATTCTTGTCATTGAAACACCCAAGTGCCTCAGACAGCACTGGCACAAAACAGGCATTTAAATATTTGTTGGAGGCTACACCAATTGGCCCTGCTCTGTGGAGCAACCTCTGGTTGAAGGTGATGATGACACTGAACTGTCCAGCAGCTAAGCCAATCTTGGGTACTAGAACCTGTCCATTCAGCAAGGGAAATGCCTACCTAGGATAGCCACCACCTCATCATCTTGAATCACCTCCAGAGAGCCAGAGACCACAAAGCAGAGGCTGTCGACACTCTCTCCAGCGTGGTAGATGAGGTCCCCTGGGGCACAGTGCACTGTCTGGAACTCCATAGCCAGTGCCCGCAGGCAGCCATCACTGGCCAGTCGGAAGGCTGGGTGCTCCTTGAACACCTTGCGGTTCAGATGCACGCAGATGTCAGCCCTCATGTCCTTGGGGCAGATCTGCAAGACCTGGATGGGCACAGAAAGAAACAGTGTGAGGGTCCCCACTGCAACCTCCAGTTCACTTCCTTCAGCACCCCTGGGGCAGCAGCAACACCCCACAAAGCCTGACTTTACTCTTCTGGCCAAATCCTGCCCTGGCGGTGCTCTCATTCTGTGGGAGAGATAAGCAGAGTCTAAAATAATCTACGCTGACTGCTCAGGACACAGGTTTGAGGGTTGGGAGTGTGTGGGACTCCATCCGGGAAGTCTTCTCTAAGGTGACATTGAAGCCAAAACTTGCAGATGTGAGTGAGCCATGTGGAAGACAACATTCCAGCAGGATGGCAAACAGAATGGTTCTGAGGGGGCCTGAGTGGTAGCCATCATGAAGGGAGGGGAAGGGAGGGTGAGGAGAAGAGGCGCAGGGAGAATAGCAAGCTCTAGGGACTTTAGGTCAGGATAAGTCTTTGATTTCATTCTGGCTTTGATGGGAGGAGCACTGGAAAACATTTTAGCAGGGTGGGATGAGCTGACATATTTTAAGAGGAATACTGCAGCCACGGAGTGGGTTTAGAGAGCCCTGATTGTAGGGTGGAGATAGTGGAATCAAGGAATTTGTTTAGGTCACTCCCACAAACATCCCAGTATGAGGCTAGGGACCTGGGGAACTTTGTAAGTGGAGCCAAATTCAGGTTACATTCATAAATAAGTTAAAAAAAATTAAATTGACATGTAACAAAATGCACACACTTATGGGGTACAGCATGATACTTTGATACATGTATACAATGAGTCTTGATCAAATCAGGGCAATCAACATACTGCAGTATTTATCATTTCTTTGTGTTGAGAACATTCAAAATACACTTAGTTCTTTTGAAATATATGGTAAATTTGTTGTTACCAGGTACAAAATTATAGTTGGATAGAAGGAATAACTTCTAGTATTCTATAGCCTAGTGGGTTGATTATAGACTAAAGAATATATTATGAATGTAGAACTGACATGACCTGCTGATGGACTAAATATGGGGTATTATTCAAAGAGATGCATAAAATAACATTTATTGAACACTTACTGTGTACCAGGCATTGTTAAACACTTTAAAAATCATTTGCTTAATACCTATTTTTTTGAGCACCTTATGGTATAACAGGCATCATTTTTAGTTCTGAGGATGAGGCAGTGAAAAAGATATAGACAAAAATCCCAACCCTTTTGCAATTTACCATCTAGTAGGAGCAAACAGACAGACAAATAATATCCAGTGGTGAGTGCCAAAGAGAATAACAAAAAAGGAAAGGGAAAGCAGATGAGGGACGCAATTTTACACTTTAAAAGTGTTGTGTGCAATAGCTAATGTGGTCTTCATATAAACCTCATGATATAATGTTATTGTGTCAGTTTACAGATGAAGAAACTGTTGCACAGGGAAATGACATAACTTGCCCAGAGTTTCACAAGCAGGAAATAGGATAGGAGGGATCTCAAACCTGTTGGTCACATCTTAACAAACTCTTATACTAGGCAGCTACACAAAACAGTTGGGCTTGTAATTTTACTTGCAGCATTTTCAAAGAAAAATGGGAACTGTAAAGGGACATATAGGTCTCATCTTCTCAAACAATGAAAACATTTTCAGCTTTTTCTAGAAGGAGAAATATTTCCCTGAACCGAATTTTTGTTAAGAAACCTCTGCATGGCCCCTTACATAGCAAGCATTCAGTAACACAATAGAACACCTTCAAGTGGACTTTTCCAGCGAATTCAGGAGTGGTTCTGAAATGATTGCTCCCACCCTAGTCTGTGAACCCAGCATGGGGCCTACAATCAAACGTTCAGTGAAAACTTTTCCTTGCAGTGCTGGGAACTTTTCTGCCCCCTGCTTCTCTGCCTTAGCACAGGCCATTTGCTGAGCTCAAATATCACCTTGCTCTTGACAACTTCATTTCCTATCCACCCACCCACCGGGTCTCTGTGTGGAAGCTTAGCAGTGAGAAAAGGTCAGAGTCGAAATCCCGACTCCTTCCCCATCAAGTGACTTAACAGCTCTGTACCTCTGTTTTCTTGTAAAACACAGACTGGTAACATTGACTTGCAAAGGTTAAATAAAATCACATCTACCAGTACACAGCTCAGGGCAGTGTAGCCCCAGCAGGTGACTTAATGAACATCCCCTCCTTCTGGGTACCCGCTTTCTGGGAGTGGGGATGGAGGACTCACTGAGGCACACAGAACTCAGGCTGCCAAACCTTTGGCAGAGTGCTTGCTAAGTGCCTCGCTCCATAAGGCTTATGAAAAACAAGGCTCCTGCAGAAGTGAAGATTTAATTTGGGTTTCTTCTTTCCAAGCAGATCACCAGAGAGCAGGGAGCAGGTGCATGTCATGTCAAAATGGTGCTCGGTAGTTCGGAACCAAGATTTATTCTGCAGGTGAGTTCACCTTTAAATATTTGGTTTCCTCTGACTTGGGCTTTGCTGGCAGAGGCTGTTAGCAAACAAGGCAAGGCATGGAGGCAATGTTTTATTCATGGGCTCTGATCCCAGTGCCCACAACAGGAGGAGGTGAGAGAATCTGGAGTGGAGGAACTGCAGACTGCTGTAGCCTTCAGGCATTTCCATCTTCTCATCTACTAGCTCCACAGAGGGGTGGACGGTCCACAACCCCACTGGCAATCCCCTCCCTACTGCTTATAGGAGGAGATACCCTCCTCTTCCTCGAGAGCCTCAAAGGCCACAGAGATATGTCACCAAAGGCTCATAGCCTCCCCCAGCTGGGCAAGACTGGGTCAAGGTTAAGAGAGAAGATTTAGATTCAGGCAGATCTGGATCCAATCACAGCCTCAGCATTTGCTGGAAGCAATACTTACTGAGTTTTCATTTTTGAACTTGTATGTGGATGTTTTTTCCCCAGTACTGGGGACTGAAGCCAGGGATGCTCTACCACTGAGTTATATCCCCAGCATTTTTTGCTTTTCTTAAATTCAAGACAGGGTGCAAATTTCCCAGGCTAGCCTTGAAATTGTGATTGTCCCAAGTAGCTGGGGTTACAGATATGCACCCTGCACCTGGCTCCATCATGCATGAGAATTTTGCAAGGATTCCATGAGCTGTTGTATGGAAGGTCCTAGAATAAGCAAATGTTCAGTGCCCTAGTTGTCATTTTTAATGTTATTGTAGCAGCAACCTCATGTCATCAGAGGGAGTCTTTGTAGTTCAGAAATTCATAGCTAAAAGGACCTTAGAGGACATCTAGTTTCCAGGTATTATAGACAAGAAAACTGAGGTTCAGAGAGACAAGCATGTGCTCAAAGTCACCAGCTACTTACCACTAAAACCAGAGTGTTCCAGAACTACCACCCGACCCTGGTCATCCCTGGAAGAGGTGTAGGTTCTCTCCCTAGTAGTTGCCTGTCATAAGTCCCTGCCAAGGGGAACAGCCATTCTGGCCACACTGGGCTCTGTAGTAAGTAACCATAGTGAAGTTCATGGCTATTTCCTCTCCCATCTGGGCCAGGAAATGGGACAAATCCCAAAGCCCTCCACAGCAGGGAGGGAGAGGGAAGGTAAATGCTGACTGTGTCATCTCTCACTGGTGAAGGCCCAGCCTAGCCCTGCAGGGAGGGTGGTGGGGAATGGCTTCTTTCCAGACAACCAGATTTACAAAGGCATTCTGGGGCCTGGGAAAAGGAGCTCCAGGGCAGAGAGATCAAAGTTTCTTTCTGCTCCATCAGCGGTCAGGAACCCACAGAGCCTACAGGCATTGTTGAGAGAGAGGCACAGAAATAATAGGGACAACTGGGGCAGGGGGTTGGCAAAGCTGGGGACTCAGTGAGGCTCCAACTCCCAACCTGCCCATCCGGGAAATCAGAACCTCATCATCAGGACTCCTGCTTCTTCCCTCCAGTACATGTTTTAAATTTTAAAAGGGTGGTGGAGGGAATCGAAGGAAAAAACTTTGGAGTCAAAGGGAAACTGGGTTCAAATCCTAGTTTTGCTGTTCTTTGCTCCATGACCAGGGGCAGTTAGTAAAAGGATTTGGGCTTTTTGTCCTCATCCTGTCAACAGAGATCGCAGCAACTCCCTCCCATGGCCACTGAAAGCCAAATAAGGCTCTGTTGCAGGGGCAGACAGGCAGGAGAAGTACAAAAATACATTTATTGTCAATGCACGGTCAAGACATGATAGCCGATGCTGTGGCGGTGCTGCTGTAGGCCTCATGGCACAGTCAACAGATCCAAAGTGACATTTCTTTTAAAGTTGAGGGCTGATTTTAGTTCATTTTTCCTTTTACACTGTCACTTCTCAACCAACTATTCCAATGAAGGAAGATAGGAACATGGACAGCTGATCCCAAAGGCTAGTTGAAATCAGACTTGAATATGTCAATAGGTATTTTTGCAATAGTGTTTTTGTTTTCCTAATTCTAACAGAGAAAAGGAATTGGTACTTCCCCAAGAATGTATAGATTGGCAATAAAGGGAGGAAGTGTGGTAGAAAAGACTAAGTAGAGAAAAACTGAGCTGGGATGGAATCTTTGCTTTTAGAAAATGTACAAAGGAGACGATTCATAAATGAATAATAGAATTTTTATCTAGATTGACAGGAAGGAAGATGAGTGGGGCAATATCCTAGAGCACATGATTTAAGGGGAAGGCAATAAACCTCATTTAACAGGAAATAGCTAATTTTAATGCGATTAAAAAAAAAGTCAATGTTCATGCAAGTAAATTCCCGTTGAACAAAAATCAAAATTTGGAATAAAGACTATATTAGTAACAGTGTCGTGCTACCTTAGAATGTGAAACAAAAGGAAAAATCAGTAGTACTAACAACCTCCTCTTATCATGACCTGATTCTCATCATTGTCCAAATCTGGGAAATTCTGTTCTGGATAGTTAGACTCCCAGTTTTCCTCTTTTCCAGGAGGCACACCTCGCTTTTCCAGTTTCTTAAATAATGACTCTTAATTGCTGGTCTTTGGGCAAGGCTGATCTGGAAGCAACCAAACCTCTGGAGAAAGGACCCCGAGAATCCAGGATCACCCAGATGAAGTCTGAACCCAGCCAGGTTTGAGGGCCTCAGCCTACCTTGAGAAAGCCAACAGACAAGTGATTTCCCGGCACTTCTTACCTTCTCTGTGTCGATGCCTCTAGACATGGACCAGGTAGACACAATATAGTCCATGACTCGCTCACTCAGTCCTTTGGGCACCTGGTAGAGTTTCAGGAAGTCCCGAACACTGTTGAGCATCTCATGGTACCTGTTGGTATTGGCGTACATCTGTTGGAAAATTGTCGTCACATTCCCAAAGATGGTGGCATAGAGAAGTGCTAGAAGCAAGGAGGAGAAAAGGAAAAGAAATAATGCAAGAGTGGTCCTTGAGTCAGGTCCCAGAATGCCCAATGTGTTCAGAGCAGGCCAGTGGCCAGCTGCCTCTCCCTAGAACAGATGGCCAAGGTCCTTCTCAGGAAAACTTCATGCCCAGAACCTTTGGGGAGGTGGACTCAAAGCAAGAGTTTTCTGATGTCAGTCCACTAGGAAAAAAAAAACATGGGCCAGACTGGTTGGGAGCGAGGGCCAGAGCTCAGACACAAGCAGCGGCCATGAATTGGGGAAGGCAGTTGTACTGCTTCACTTAGTACCTCTTTTCACAAAACTTTGACACATGTCTGAGGACACCAGTCAAATGTATGCCCATGTGCTGCAGTCCAAATCCAAACCTGTGAGTTAACAATCTTCATCAAGCTCTGCTGTGTGCCAAGCCCTATGCTACCCACAGGGGACAGGATGGTGAATAAGACATTCAGTTTTGGCCCTCAAAGAACACAGCAGGAAGGACAGACTCTGAATATGTAATCAGAACTTATTTAACAGTCTGCAGAGGGCAACGGAAGGCGTTTTATCCTTGTTTTCCACTTATTGTTAAATCCTTGTTTTGCACTTAACAATCTGCTTCACTGACAAGGCTCATTGGAGGGAAAAGCATGGCTTTGATACAATGCAAATAAAATCAGGTGCCCTCTGAGATGTAATAACTATGTAGTATGTGTCACTACTGCTCCCCTTACGTTAGCATCACCAAGGAGGACTGTTACATCATCACAAATCCATCACTTCCAGGAAGACTTCCCCAATCCCCTCTCCCCTCCATCTGTCACCAGGAAGGAGACCATAACTTACTAGGCATATTTCTACAGAGCTCATATTATTCTATTGTGCAATCTATATATGCTTCTTTCCTGGCCTGTTGCCTGACAGAGTACGAGTTGCTGCTTGAAGGCCGGACACCTCTTTTCCTTGCCATTGTACCCCTAGACTCTAAATACTATTCCTCTACTTAATAAGTGTTTGTTGAATTACTGAGTTTACACATGCTTTTTTCTTCCTGCTTTTTAAAAATAATTGATAAACCGGATAGGATTAAAATATGTAATTTAATCAACGTTGACATAAAACCATTACTACAAACAAGATGGTGAATATATCCATCACTCCAAAAAGTTTTGTCATTTCCCTTGGAAATCCTTCCCTCCTGCCCACACCTGCCCTTCACCCTCCCATCCCCAAGCAACCTCTGAGCTCTTTTCTAACACCACACATCAGCCTGCATTTTAAAAATAGTTTTATGTACATGGAATCATATAGCATATTCTTCTTTTTAATATCATTGATATAATTCATACAACATGAAATGTATCCATTTAAAGTGCAAAATTCAATGGTTTTTAATATATCTATAGACTTGTGCAACCATCACCACAATCTAAGTTTAAAATATTTTCATTCCCTCCCCTCAAAGAAATTCCATACCCATTATCAGCTGTTCTTATTTCCCCCCAGCCCCCTATCCATAAACTACTTTCTGTCTCTATAGACTGCTATTCTGGACATCTTATATAAATTAAAATTATACAATATGTGGCTGCCTGTAACTAACTTCTTTCACATTGTACCAAGTATCAATACTTCATTTTTATTGTTGAATCATACTCCATTGTAATGGATTGCCTACATTTATTCACTCATTGTTATTGGATATTAGATTTTTTTTCCTTTTTGGCTATTATGAATACTACCATTATAAACGTTCACGTTTAACTACATTTAAAATGTTGAGAAACTGCCGAACTATTTTCCAAAGTAGCTCCACCTTTTGACATTCCTACCAGCAGTGTATGAGTGTCCCAGAATCTCTGCATCCTTATTCACACTTGTTATCACCTATCTTTTTGATTGGCATCCTAGTGAGTGTGAACTGTCCATTGTGAAGTGTCTCATTGATTTGCACGTCCATAATCGATCAGTGTTGAACCTCTTTCCCTGTGTTCAGTGGCCAGTAGTATATCTACTTTGGAGATTTGGCCATTCAAGTTTTTCAACTGGGTTGTCTGTCCTTTTGAGTTTCAAGAGTCCTTCATATATTTTGATATAGATTCCTTATTAGATATATGACTTGCAAATACTTCCTCACATCCAAGGGTGGTCTTCACTTCCTTTACCATATCATTTGCAGCACAAAAGCTTTTGGTCTTGATGTAGTTCAGTTTATCTACTTTTTCTTTAGTATTCGTTTTTGACTGGCTTCTTTAAACATGATTTTTTTTTCTTCTCTGTTATCGTGTCAGTAGTTCATTTTTTTTAAAGGCAAATATTTGGAAAAAATTAGATATTCACAGGAAGATTCAAACAGAGAAATTCCAGTTACCTTTCTCTGAGTTTCCCCATTACATTTCATATAACGAGAGCACAGTGTCAAAATCAGAAGATTGGCATTGCTATGAAGTATATGTATAGTTCTGTGTCATTTTTATTACATGTGTAGATTTATGTAACTAGCACTAGAGAGAAGTATTCTACCACCAGAGACCTCCCTCGTGCTGTCCCTTTATAGTCACACTTCCCCCTGGCAACCACAGTCTTTCCCCCTCTATTATGCCATTTTAAGAATATAAAATAGATCATACAGTATGTAACCTTTTGAGATTGGTTGTTTCCACTCAGTAAACTTAAGGTCCATCCAGGTTGTAATTTTTAATTTTTTTTAATTATTTATATATGACAATAGAATGCATTTTTGCACTTTTGATATATCATACATAGATGGGATATAATTTCTCATTTTTTTGAGAATACCTGTTGTAGAATCATGTTGGTCATGCAGAGTATATATATTATTAATTTATGTCTGTTTCTTTCTACTCTCCTTCCTATCCCACACTCCCACTTCCCCTCCCCCTTCACTTCCCTCTACCTAAGAATACCTTATACCTAAGAATCCCTATACTGAAGAATAGTGTTACCTAAGGTATCACTATCCCTGTACCTGCAATTCTTAGTGTTACTTAAGGTAACACTATTCTTCTCTAGTGCCCTCTCCCCATTGTGAATTAGCATCCACATATTAGAGAAAATATTCAGCCTTTGGTTTGGGGGGGATTATTTCACTTAGCCAAAATATTCTCCAACTCCATGCATTTACTGGCAAATGTAATCCCTTTGCTTTTAATTGATGATGGCTATCCTTCTGTATGGATGCACCACTGTCATTTCTTTCAAATGATCTTATTCAGATTTAGCTGCCTATGGAAGGGAAAGAGAGAAGTGCATGAATCTAGAGGCAAGGGAAGAACTAAACACACCTGAAGAGAATTATAAATGAGGAAGGAAAGAGCACTACCAAGCTCTGGAAAGACACCAGGGAGTACTGTCAGTATGAAGAGAAGAAGCCAGACAGAAAGCAGAAATAGTGCAAAGCCTGAATAACGTAGATACCAGTTATTCTAAGCTCAGAATTACTTCATAAACAAAGGAGAGGCAAAGCACCAGCTCTCCCAATGCCAGTAATGTCACCAAGTATGCTCAGCATCCTCCTCCCAGGGACTAGGCCAGGCTGGTTGCCTTGTTCCCAGAGAGTCTGATCCTAACTCAACAAACCTTGGAAGGCAGACTTGCCTCGGCTGTTTTCTTATCTTCAATGAACCAGGGCTCATGGGCAAAGAGTAGAGGGGTCTCTTTATGGGATGCTTGCTAGAAAACTAATCTAACCCTGAGCTTTAAAAAGTAGTTACACCAAATCAATAATGTAGTAAAAATAGCTCTGTTGGCCATGATTGAGTGCCAGGTAGCAGGTCCTAGACACCAACATGCCGGTCAGTCAAAAGCAGCGATGTCACGGATCGTTCCATGGTTCAGACTGCTCCTGTGGCATTCTGAGGTTAAAGGTCTGCAGGAGGGCCAAATTCTAGAATGATGATGAGGATGATGTAATTTTATATTAAAAGTATATAATTTTACTCTAAATTCACTTAATTTTATGAGGTTGGATACATGTTTCTCATGCATATGACATTTAATTTGTTAGTATCTAGATATCTGTATCAAGCCCTGTACCTGCAATTCTTAATACCTAACTAGTATTAATACCTAACTAGGAGAGAAGACATGTTAATTCAGGTATCACCCAAATGGATATTTGAGTGTGATATGGGGAGAAAGGGAGGGGTGTGTAATGTCGCTGTCATGAGTTTGGGGGGAGGGGGGTGGAAAGCCAGACTGAATCTGGCCATGCAGAGGGTGTCTTGGATCCCTCTAAACATGGAATAGTTAAGTCCTTCCATTTGGGGAAAGGAAAAAGACTTCTCCCAACTACAAGGCAAAATGCAGATTTGGAGAAAAGATTTCTTTCATCCATGTGGTTTAAAGTTTTATATTGTATCATAGCAAGAGCTCTGGGTCCCATCCAAGGAAAAATAAGATTGTGTTCTCTAGTCCTTAACTAGAAATGACTATATGGAACTTAGGAAGGGCAGCAAAAGTTCCCTCCACTCCAGGTCTAAATTTTTAAGTTTTAAATTTTTAAGCCTAAATTTTTTTTGGTCTAAAATATAAATAATCATAGTTCAAAGAGTTAAGAGGTCAAGAAGTTAAAAAAAAAAAAAAAACAACAGTCCTTTGACCTTTCCTTTTCATGCAACTTGCAATTGTTTAGCTAATTGTTTTGGTAATTATCTCCCTGTTTGAATATCAGGCTCAAAGTGTTATGTCCTGATATTCTATTGGAGGCATTATCCTTGCCTGCTGAGAATTTAGCACTTTCCTCCTCTCCTCCATCATCCCACTCATTTCACACACCTTTTCTCATTACTCCACTCTCCTGGTAGAGCTGATGATTTGGGTTAGATCCACATCTGTGTTTATGTTCCAGTGTTCAGATGAGTGCTACCCACAGCTGAACCATGTACTTGCTTCTCTGCAGTGTTCTCTTTTACCTGTAGCTCTTAACGGTCTGTCTTTTCATTTGCTTAATTTTCTTACCATTCATTTGATTCCA